GGTCATTATGCATCTAGCACTCAGCCTTTCAAAGCCCTTATGAAACCCAGGAGCAAATGAAAGAACTTCTAGAACAGAACTTGAAGCCACCCAGGTCATTGGGCATTGTTGTTGGCACTTTGCTAAACAGAGATATGCCATTGTGCTCAGCTCTCCCAACATAGAGGGAGAGAAGGGTGCAGTGATGGTCACTCTGTCTGGAGAGATTCTGATGTCTTGGGTCGATAACAGTATTGTTGGTTCTGATTCTGAATCCCCTCCAGCCTCTGCAGACACACACCCCTGAAATGAGGATGCAGAACAGGGATTCTCCACTTGGCTCTATTGGCATTGAGCCACGTAGGGGTTTTTTGTTTGTTTGTTTGGTTGGTTGGTTGGGGGTGGGGAGGCTATCCTGTGCCTTCCCTCATCTTGCCCCCAGTGACAATGTCTCTAGGAATTTCCAAGTGTTCCCTGGAAGGGAAAAATTGCCCTGCTTGAGAAGAGTATTGCTGTAAGCCTCAGTATGTCCACACATGTCAGGTCTCACTACTTAGCTGCCACCAGCATTAAGTCATGCTGACCCCAAATAAAATTGGAGTGGGGAAGGGTCCAGGCTTTGCTGAAGGAGCATGTATGGTTTCTAAATAGGTTCCTTGGACCTCCATTCCAATGGTGTTCTAGTTCTCTTAAATTGAAAAGAAGTTAGATGGTCAATGTTAAGAGACAAAAATGGAAGGTATTTTAATGGACTTTTTAAAATAAAACTTTATTCATGAAATACAGGCCATTGAAATGATGTGTGTTTGTATAAATGAAACTATTTGGGATTGCCTACTGTACCTCTGCTCCTCAGGTTGGCATTTCCTGTGTGTCGTCCCCCTTTACCCTACTGCTGCTGGCAGAGAGAGCGAGCTGATGGTAGAAAGAGGAGCTCCCAGGAAGCAGGCATGGCCATCCTCTGGGTGACAGGCCTACAGCACTGCTGTCCTTTCTCTGGGACTCAGAAGCCTTTCCTCCACCTCCCTTTCCACTCTCTAAACACCACCCTGAAGAAAGTCAAATTTGCCTCTGAAGAGTTTCTATACAAAGCCCAAGCCTCACTGTTATTCTTGGGTAGAAACTAAATAAGCAGAATGACCCAGACCCCCCCCAAAAAAATTGAGGAAGAAGGCTGTGCATACTTGGTTCCTGAGCACAGATTTTTTCCATTAGTTGCCCTGGTGGTAATCTTTGCCTTTAGTCTATCATGTGAAGTTAGGGCTTCAGGAATAAGAAGAGGAGTTCTTGCTCATAAAATGTTTTAAACAATATTTTGGTACACATGTTAAGGTGTTATTTATTTTTTCTAATTATAATATGCCTGGTTTCTGTTCTCACGACTAGAAGGCTCAGGGGTCACTCTAGTTAAACTGGGCTAACTGGGCTGCACGAAATAACCACACAAGAGACACAAATACCTTTTTCTTTGGGGTTGCTGTGACGGCTCCTCTGACCTTAAGGGTCCGCAGAAAGAGAGAGAGCGAGAGCACACGCGCTGACCCCTTTTATTGAGGAGAAGCTATTCAAATGAGGCAAGGGGTCAGGTTTCAGGGGGCTGAGTCTATCTTCATGATGTCCACTGTCAGCAGGTTGACTGACACCTGGGTAGGCCACACCCAAGGGCACAGTAAGAGGAGGGGACACACACAAGGCACTTCCATGGAAGATTCTATCCTAAACAGGGCAAGGGGTTATATTACAAAGGAACAGGTGAGCATAGCTTCACCCATGGGGCTGTAGCAAGACACACCCATTTCTGTGACTGAGCGCCTCAGTACCCAGCTGGGGAGTGTAACTCAGTCACCCATAAGCTTGGCCTCCCACAATAATACTAGTGTAAATAAAAGTAGTTGAAAGGTTAAAGATTTTTTAGAAGCATTAGATTACAAAGAAATTGAAGGACTAACACTACGATAGCAAGACATAGTAATTCCATCTATAAATGGGGGTGGGGCAATAATACATAGGCTGGTTGAAGATTAAAATAAAGTGGTGCCTCATAAGGGGCCTGGCACCAAAATGGCAGTTATTTAATAGTACAAATAAAAGACCAGTTCTCAAGAATGTACTTTAAAAATTCTGACATTAGTAAACTAAGAACTTCACACTACCTTTCTGGCTTAGCAGTCGAGTCACTATTGTTGAAATTCTATAGACATTTTTAATCCTCATCATCTCTGACAAGAAATCCCAATTAATGTTTCAGGAAAAAAAAAAATAGGAAATGACCCCACCAAAGATTCCTGAATGTCAAGTGATATTAAAGTCAACTCAAACATACATTTCTCTTTCCTTCTATGCAGGAATTGACAGATGTATGTTCAAAGTAGAATGAAAGCATGTTTGCATATTCTTTATTTAAGTCAAACCTGTTCTTACTACTACAGAAACTGCAACGGGACAGTGAGGAACCATGCGGGTTAACTGACCTCTCCTGTAACTTAAAATTACTGTGTATGCAGTTACACAAGAAGGATCTCTTGGAGGAAAAATAACACAATATGTAAGGAAGCTATTATCTCAGATTGTTCTTGCCAAGGCTAAATCAGTAGCCACAAATTTTGCCAAGTGTTCCCAGTTAAGGGAGACTACAGTGGTAGCCAGGCTTAAAAGTATAGCTGTTTTTTTTCTCTTCTGAACTTTCAGTTGTAGATGTTTGGAACCTTTATAAAGCTATATGCCTTAAAAAATAATGACAAAATACACAGAACTTTTACCATCTTAACTATTTTAAGTGCACAGTTCAGGAGCATTAAATGCATTCACATTGCTGTGTACTCACCACCACCATCCAGCTACAGAACTCTTTATTTTGCAGCACTGAAACTGTGTATTAGACACTAACTCCACATTCCCCTCACCCTGGCAGCTCTTGGAAATTCCCATTCTAGTCCGAATTGGACAACTCTAGGAACCTCATGTACAAGGTCCTCATGGTTCACCCATATTTAGCATATGTCAATATTTCCTTTTAAGACTTAGGGATTAGATCAGAAACCCTACACATACACTCCAACATACAGGCTCAGGAACTGACTTCCTTAATAAGATCCCTAAAGTGCAAGAAATAAAATCAATAAATGGGATGGCATCAAACTAAAAAGCTTCTTCACAGCAAAGGAAACAAGTGCATGAAGAGGGAGCCTATAGAATGGGAGAAAATCTTTGCCACCTGCACCTCAGAGCACTAATTTCCAGGATTTATAAAGAACACAAAAAAACTTAACACAAAAAAAAACTCAATTAATAAATGGGGAAAGGACCTGAACAGGCACTTCACAGAAGAGATGTGAGCGGTCAACAAATATATGAAAAAATGTCCAACATCCCTAGCAATTAGAGAAATGCAAATTAAAATCACACTGAGATTCCATCACACTCCAGTCAGAATGGCAATTATCAAGAATACAAGTAACAATGTTGGCAAAGATGTAGAGAAAAAGTTACACTTATACATTGTGGGATTGCAAATTGGTGCAACCACTCTAGAAAGCAGTATAGCAATTCCTCAAAAAACTTGGAATGGAGCCACCATTTAACCCAGTTATCCCACTCCTCCTTTTATCCACAGGAGTTAAAATCAATGTACTACAGTGATGCATCCACATCACTAGTTTCACAATAGCTAAGCTATGGAACCAAACTAGGTGCCCTTCAACAAATGAATAAAGAAAATGTGGTACATATACACTGGAATATTACTTAACCATAAAGAAGAATGGCTTTATGACATTTACCAGCAAATGAAGGATCTGGAGATTATCATGCTAAGTGAAGTAAGCCAGTCCCCAGAAACCAAAGCAGAAACTAAAGGTCGAATGTTTTCTCTGTTAGGTGGAAGCTAACCCACAATAAGAGGCAGAGGTGGGAGGGGGGATAGAAGTTAAGTGGATTCAACAATGGGGAATAGAGGGAAGGAGGGGGCATAAGCAAATACAGTGGAATGAATCTGACAATTTTTCATGTACCATGCAAACAACACAGTGAATCCCACCACCATGTTCATCCATAAGAATGGGACTCTTAACCAAAAATAAAATACATTCCATGCTTGTATAATTATATCAAAATGGATTCTGCTGTCATGTATAAAAAGAACCAGTTTAAAAAACAAACAAAAAAAAATATTTCCTTGTTAAAGCTGAGTAATATTCCATGGCATAGATGCACCACATTTTATCCATTAGTCAGTTGATGAGCACTTGGGTTGCTTCTACTTTTTGGCTCTTGTGAATAATGCTATTATGAACACTGGTGCACAAATATCTGAAGCCCTCCTTGTTTTGGATGTATACTCAAAAACAGAATTGCTGGATCATAGGGTGATTCTCTATTTAACCTTTTTTAAGGAACCGAGATCTTCTTGACCACAGCAGCTGAGCCATTTTGCATTCCCACCAGCAGTGCACAGAATGTTAATTTCTCAACATCTTGAGCAACACTAACTTCTTTTTTTTTTAAATTGTAAACTATATTAATGGATATAAATGGCTTACAGAAAAAACAAAACAAAACAAAAAAAACATTAGATTCCACCATCCCTAAATGAGAACGTACTCCATCCCACCTTTAGCACCAGCTATGCATCAAGGATTAATTAATTAATAATTAATCTGTCGGAAGCTCGGCCTGGGTGCCCACCAGGTGAAGGCAGGATGGCCAGTGAGCTCACTTCCCCAGGGGCCTTGGTCATCACTATAGCAAACAGGTAGGAGGAGGTGACATAGACTGGGACATCGTGCCTGTGGGCCAGAGAGAGCCCCTAAGAAAAGATCCAGTCTCACCAGCTTCTGATGGGTTTAGGCAAAGGCTGTGTGCGGGGCGTGGCAGGCTGGCATAGGACGTGACGGCAAGCTAGGCCAGGCTGGTGTAGAGGGGTGTGGCCCGGCACAGCCGGGCGCCTCGGGGGCGTGGCGGACGGGGGCGGGGCTAGCAGGGGCGGGCATAAGGTCCTGCGCGTGCGCGTTTCCAGAGGCGGCGCAACATAGGAACATGGTGGTGAGGCTGTGCTCCCGAGGCGGGCTGCTACCGCGGCTGCTCTTCTCGCCTCAGAAGCCCAAGATTTACGTCCCCACGGCTGGGCGCAAGGCCGCGTACGGGTAATGGCGCCCTCCTGCCGTCGGGGAGCCCCAGCGTCGCGCGCTCTGGGGGGCAGCGGGAGGGGCGCGCTGACCCAGGTGGACCCGGCTGCAAAGATGGGGGTCTTGGGCGAGGTCTGGCCTCCTTGTGGCCCTTGATTTCCCGAGATCCCGCATCCGGGAGCACTCCGTGAGCGCCTGAACTGTGCCTAGGCCTCACATCTGTGACTCTGGAGCTTAGGGGACGAGACTGTCATCTGTGTGCAGACGCAGGGGGCCCCGAGAGGTAAATTTGCTATTAGTCACAACTAACTGGTGAGGAAGCAGATTGTAAACCCATGCCCCTTATTCTTAGCCGGTTCCTCTTTCTAGACTTTACATCGTGAGGTTGAGAACAGTAATCTCTTGTGCTGCTAGGTTTTTTGTTTGTTTGTTTTATTTTTTGTCACACTGAGGTATAGCCCCAGCTTTTCATTTTGAGACCGTCTTGCTAAATTGCTTAGGGTCTTGATAGTGGCTGACCTCGAACTTGCGATCCTCCTGCCTCAGCCTCCAAAATCCTTGGGATTACAGGAGTGCCTTCTCCTACTTCTTATATCAGAAATCTGCTTGAATATGTCTGGGGCCTATTAGCTGGCATAAAACTGATCAGGCTTAAGTCATGAATCCCAAGTCTCCTGAGTCTTTAATTTGCTTATCTCAAACTGACATGTGCAAGAGAATCATCTTGGGAACCTATGAATATTCAGAATCCCAGACTTCACTCTTAAGAGATTCTGAAATACATGTGTGGAGAGGTCCAAAAATCTGCATGTTTCTCTTAGTCCTCTCGTCCCCTTTACAGTTAAAACAGTAACAACAAAAACCTGGATTAACCTCTGACCTGGTGCCTGGTTCCAAGAGATTCTGCGCAGAAAAATATGGATGGAGTGGCCTGAAATTTTCTTTACTGTATTCTTTACATAATATGTCTACACATATACATTTCACACTCATATAGACACACAATGCATGTATGCAGTTAAATGTTGATGGGTCAATTTCATTAATGACTTGTGGGGAAAAAGGAAATGTTTGATTGGTACCTGGCATTTAGAATTTTACTTGATATCATGTGGAAACTATTAATTTCAAAGAAGAAAATAGGAGGGTAAATCTGACCATCTTTTTAAAATTTTCATTGTGTAATTAACTGGCACTTAAGTTTCATATTTGGCTTAGTTTTATTAATTCAGGACTATTTTGATACAGATGGAAAAACGTGTAAGTAGATGTAGCTATATAAATCAACAGTGAAAATGTACATTGTATCCAGATTCCTGTTTTCAAAAAAGGATTGAGATAATGTTACTGTGATTGTACCAGTATCATAGTCCTGATAGGTTATTTAATGGTTACATAGAGGCCCTGCCAACCTAGTGGCACTTCCTAAATTAACTCTGAAAAACAGGTTTCTCCAGATTTTGTCCTGCAGGTGCATAAATGCAGTTGCAAACTGATGATATGTAATCTGAGAAAATGAGCAGTGGTATTGGTTAACCCTGAAACAAGGCCACAGCCCCATGAAACTGGTAAAAGCACTCCTATTAAAAAAAAAAAAAAAACTGCTTCTAACAGCCAGTGTCTAATGTGCAACTCAGTTGTATGCCAAAAACTTGTTTGTAAGGCTATTTGGAACTTTGACTCTTATTTAATAATTAAGGAAATTTGTTTCTGGATTAGGTTAAAAAAAATTAAAAAGTCTTCTCTCCCTGAAATTATATGTTATGTACAGTTACAAATATTAACAATTGACAGCATCTAACAATCTGCCTGAAGAAAAATATTTTCTGAGTTCGATCTTGGAATAATGCCCTGTTCCAGATTCCCTCCTTCCCCTGAAGCCTGCCACCACCCTCTCCCTGCATGGCAGTCAGACTGTGTTCTACCCCAGTGCCTGAACCATGCGGGGGACTCTGTTCAGCCATGAGGTTAGAGAGAAAGCTTGGCCTCTGGAGTTCAGATAGATCTGTTACCATCACTTTCTGTCTGTGTCAATGTAGCCAAGTTACTTAACCTCTGAGCCTCCAGCCTTGCACAGTTTGTGAGGATTTGAAACAATGGATGTAAAAGGTCTAGGACATAATAGATATAAGTATTTAGTAGGTACAATTAGTAATGATACAAATAATAATATAAAAGAAGTAAAAATAAATGATCGAAATTCACTTGAATTCAAGCCCTGGGGGTGTGTAATACTTTATTGTAGTTAATGGTTACTTTATATAAAATAGCTGAATATAAATGATTAGGACTTTTGAAATGAGGTTGTATCTTACTAAGTGGCCTCCATTTTTTATTTCTAAAGCAAAGTGCTGAGGCTCTGGGTCAGACTTTCTGCTGCTCATCTTGGTTTGGCAGAGCACCACAGTGTAGGCAAATTACTTTGTTCTCTAATCCTCAGATTCCTCCATGGTAAGATTAGGTTCAACATAATATTATCCCTCCAATAACTCATTACATTGTTCTCAATCTTAGTTGCCTATTGGAATCTCCTGAAGAAATTTTAAAATATAATTGCCTAGCTTCCACCCCAAAGATTTGAATTGTAGCATAGTCTATGCATCAGATTTAGAAGTTTGCAAGATGGTTCAAATTGAAGTTTGAGGCCAGGTACAGTGGCACATGCCTATAATCCCAGCGGCTCAGGAAGCTGAGGCAGGAGGATCGTGAGTTCAAAGCCAGCCTCAGCAATGGTGAGGCGCTAAGCAGCTCAGCGAGACCCTTCTCTAAATAAAATACAAAATAGGACTGGGGATGGGACTCAATGGCAGAGTGCCCCTGGGTTCAATCCCTAGTTCCACTGAAGTAGTAGGAGACAGGAAATGCTCCTGTAAAAAGGGGACGATTGGAGCTGAGGTTGTGGCTCAGTCGTAGAGCACTTGCCTAGCACATGTGAGGCACTGGGTTCGATTTTCAGCACCACATATAAATAAATAAAATAAAGGTCCATTGACAATTAAAAAATATTTTTTAAAGAAGATGGGGACAAGTGGGCAGCTATGGAGGTGTTGGTGCAGGGGGTTGAACTTGGTGACTCTCACCTACATCCTAGGGTCTCCTCCCCCAGCTTCTCTTTCATAAGACTCCATTTACTGCATGGTAAATGCTGGTGGCCAGCTGTTTACCCATCTGCTAGCCTCCAAACTACATGAGAGCATAACTTTAGTGCCCAGCAGCAGGTTGGTGTTCAGGATGTGCATGGATGAATGAATGGTATGGTGGAGTTTAATGTTTCTGAAAGCAGATAACTAGGGCACTGCCACAGAGTTATTGAATGTCTTTCAGGATTGTTATAGGCATGCTTTTAAATCTCCACTGGTGATTCTAAACAACACAGCCGTTTCAGAATACCTGGGTTAGAGATGCAATTTAATAAGAGAGAAGAAGAGGTGGAAAAACCAAAGTGACAGCCAAAGGGGAAGGGATTAGTATTTTTTTCTTTATTGTTTATTCAAAGGCCCTAGGCAGGAGGATTGTGAGTTCAAGACCCCCAGGGCCTTGTACATAAGAGTAGGCAAATGGTCTACCACTAAGCTATACCCCACAGCCTATAATTTTTGTCTCTAAATTTTCTGAAGTTTTCTATTTTTTTTTTTCCTCCCTGAGAGTTTTGGGAAATTTGGTATCTTGAATGTGGTTCAAGTAATAAACACACAACAAGGCCATTGAAGGCCTGGTCTTTATGGCCTGATTTTCTTACAACATGCACATAACTGTTAATCCAAGGCCTGACTGCAACTCTAAGATAATCTGGAAGAAGAGTGCTATACTCATTTCAGTTATATTGCTGTGAAAGTAAACAATAATTGTTGTTGTCTTTTATTTTTTTTTTTTTTAACGGTATTGGGGTGGAACTCAGGGGTGTGCTTTACTACTGAGTACATTCCCAGTCCTTTTGTTTGTTTGTTCATGTGTTTTAATTTTGAGGCAGGTTTTGCTGTATTGCTGAGGATTTCACTAAGTGACTGAGACTGGCCTCAAATGTGTGATCCTCCTGCTTCAGCCTCCTCAGTCACTGGAGATTATAGGTATATGCCACTATGCCCAGCAATAACTGTTATCTTTAAAAGTAAACCTTTTTCTTATGTTTGATATTGATTTGCTTTTGTTCACAAATAGTCCTCATTCCTTTTCCTCCAGCTTAGAGATTCATGAAAGGTTTTTGTCAAACTCCATTAACCCCATGGGATGGGCTGATGTGACAGTACAGGTCCCTCTGGTGCAACAACATACAGGGTGGTTGAAGACAAAGCAGTGTGGCAGTGTCTTTCCCCCAGCCTAGCTGCAGAACACCATTTGGCCCCCACCATAGAGCTGCCTTCATATTCTTGCTAGCTGAACATGAGCTTGTCCCCACGGATGTCCCTTGCTCCTGGGCCATTGATCAGACTATTTTTGTCTTCCAGAAATGCCTTTCCCACCACATTTTCTTTTCAGAATTTGACCCATCTTTGGAAGTTCATCTCCAAAGCTCCTTTTAGATCCCTCTGCCCAGCCCTGATATGATCTCTGTCTCCCTTTAAACATTCTTTCCTGACATTGAGTTGCCATTATGCTAAAAATCAAGACTGCCTGGTTTTATCTCCCTATTCCTTTTAGGTAACCAAGAGAACATGGGATGGTAATAATTAGAGAAGTTTGGAATGGGGAATCAAAACATAGATACTACCAAGCGCAGAGGGAAGTTAGTTTTGTTTGTATTTTGCAGCAGAGACTTGGGAGTGATCATGGAAGCTGAGAAAAAGCCTGTGAGTCTGTGCCCTGCAGAGATGCAGAGAGCTTAAGGCAGCAACACCCAGTCCTGAAAACTGATGAGCTTTGCACATGGAGGAGGGTGAGGGAAGGGCACTTTCATCGTGCATAATATCCTCACAGTGCAATGTAACTTTCATGAGCATGTTCTTGGCGCTGCAAGAAAGGGAGCTCCTAAAAATTCTAGGGCACAGGAGTAATAAAGGGAATAATGGTATGGTGCACATTATTGCTAATGTGAGCTGTGCGGATGGTAGTCATTTCTGTTCAGGGAGTGGCTTCATTTAATTTAGGCAACACAGGAAATAGCAATAAGGACTTTTATCCCATCCAGGTGCCTCAAAGCTCCTTTTTCCTCAGTCATAACTGCCTCCCTGAGGGTTTGCAGAGTAAATCCTTTGTCTTTATCATCTCTCCTTCTAGACTGTGAGCAAATATACACCAATAAATGACCATTTACTAAAATGAGTCTTTACTAGTAAAGTACATTTATTTGTTTTTATCCTGAGCCTAAGATATCTAAAGCCATCCTACCAATAAAAATTAATTCCTCAGAGGAATAAGAAGTTAATAATAAGTAAATTGGCAGAGTACATATTATGCTAAAACCACTTCATGGCATGATTGTTGCTCCTCTAATGATATTTCTGAAATGAGCTTATATCAGGACTTCTTATTTCCCATTTCTGTCATAATTTTACAGACAAGTGTGTGTTACAATTAGATACAGCAATATTCAATTTTTTTTCCTGCATTTTGTTTTTACTTGAAGTTGGCAAATCAGGTGAAACCGAAAGAAGAAACAGGACCTTGTTTTTTCAAAAGCGTACATTTCAGCAGTCATCTTGACCAAGGGCAGTGGTCAGGTGAGGAGTATGTAATAGAAAAAGGAAGATTAGTTGATTCTACTTTATTGACAGTCCACTAGAAGAGGAGTGGCTCCTCCTAGCACCTCTCCTAGAATGCCATCAGGTCAGTTATCTGTCTGGCAGATCGGTAGCAGGGGTCTTGTAGGTGCTGTGCTGGTGTATGTCCTTGGACAGTCTATTCTGGAGCTTCCAGAAGAGCCTCTGAGAACACCTGTACAGCCCATGCATCCTCAGGCAGGACAGATGCTGGTGGTGGCCTTGTCCTGTGCCAATTATTGTCTAGTTAGATGCTGGATCATGAATGGGACCTATGGAAATGGCTTCTTAATAGTCAATTCAGGAATATTTCAGCATCTTAAAAACCAGCAAGTCCATGTCAGTGCAGTTGGGTGTTTCTGATTAGAGTCCTCCTGCTTCTGATTAGATGACACCAGATGCCCTGAGATCACCAGGGCCTTTCCTTGGAACTCCTGGGATCAGTCTTGTCCTCAGGAATGCCACCAATACTGCTGAACATCCTGGTAACTGCTGTAAAGCTGCTGAGGAGGAGAAAATGGTTCCAGGTTCTGTGTCTCTGGTGCCCCATATCAGCCTGCACGCGGGCACCACTGACTTCTAGCTCCTGGACATGTGCCCTAGGCCTGTACATATAGCCACTGAATTCAGCAAACCTTTCAGTGCTCGTGTAGGGTGGGCCCCAGGCTGGGTGCTGCAGTATATTGAAAAATGAATACACTTGATTTTGTAGTCTGTTAAAGAAGATACAAACTCATGTCACTGTTTAGGAATGGAAAGTTAAGGCACAAATCAAAATAATCCAAGAAGCTTGAGAGGGGTACTGGAACTGATTCATGCATGTAAAAGGGCAGTCTTGTCATATTAAATTGATAAACATATTGTGTTAATTAATTTTCTTTGGGGATTTCTTTTTCTTCCAGAACAGTAACCTCTGCCAAAGTGTCTGTGAATGGCGTTCACCTGCATTATCAGCAGACTGGAGAGGGCGAACATGCAGTCCTGCTGCTTCCTGGGATGTTGGGTCTGACAATTTTTAATGGAATCCTTTGGCATGCTGTATAACCTCTCTGATAGGGTCATGATACTAGTTGCCAAATATTGATTAATTTTAGTGCTTTACCAGACTGTTTTAAGGGATATTTGCTAAAATCAAATGCATGATTTAGAAAAGTAGATAACTTTCTATCATGTTTTTTGTATTCCTTTATATACCCAGTTTTTTTCTTCATGGGTATACTGTGAAACCAAAGGTGAGAGATCAAGGAAAGGGTGTGGGAAGGAGTAGATGAAGGAATAAGGTGAATGGATGATTAGCCATCCCAGTTTCCTGGCATCAAGAAGTTTTCAAGGTTGTGGGACTTACAGTGCTAAAACCAGGACAGATGCTCTCTATTCTGGTTGATATGTTCAGTTAAAATAAGAAATAAGAGCTGGGCGTGGTGGCGTACACCTGTCATCCCAACAACTTTGGGAGCCTGAGACAGAAGGATCACAATGCCAACCTCAGCGACTTAGCAGGACCCTATCTCAAATTAAAAATTTAAAATGGGTAGGGGTATAGCTCAGTGATAAAGTGCTCCTGGGTTAAATCCCCAGTTTCACTCCCCCACACACCAAGAAAAAAAAAAAAGAAAAGAAAAAATAAGCTTAAGGTCCTTTTGAAAATCAAAATTAGGAGCTGGGGTTGTGGCTCAGCAGTAGCGCTCTCATCTAGCATATGTGAGGCCCTGGGTTCGATCCTCAGCACCACATAAAAATAAATAAAATTTAAAAAATCAAAATTAGATTATTGTATTACCCTCTCTCAATGTGGGGCACAGTAAGCCCTCTGGATCTGAATCTCACTTTACAGAACAGTAGTCCAGATGTGCAAAGTGAGAGAAGATACACAGGGATCCCAGGACATCTAGAATTTAGTTTTATAGGATTTAGTATTGTTGTTTATTCTTGGTTTAGTTAAATAATCCTTGTGATTTGCTTCTTTCTCCTAAAAATAAATTACTAAAACTTTTCAATTAATTGATGTTTCTATTTGATCAAGCCTCCGCTGATGTGGTACTGTGGTAGCTAGTGAGATATCTCTGTCTAGTTAGTATTTAGTACCTTCTTTTTTTTTCTTAAGCTGTTGTAATGAAGGAGGACATTTATTCTAATAACCAAGGTCAAACTAAAGTCGTCTGTCACAACAACAACTTACCAGGTTAGAATTTCCATTATTTTAGTATTAATGATCATTAACCAGGTACAAAAACATACCAGTTTTTGTTTATGTAAAACCATTAACATGCTTCCAAAATTTAAAAATAAAACAGTGAGTTTCCTATCTGTCCCACAGATCCTGATCCCTTCCCCATGGGCTACTCAGGTATCATGTATTAATTAAAATAATAATAATAATAATAATAGTATATATGTGTGTGTGTGTGTATGGCCTTGGTCTTCAAATATATACATGTTTGCCAGAAAACAAATATCTCATTATCTCATTATTTCTGAAATTGATCTTTTAACCTGCTCCCTTTCCCATCTCCCTACCTTCTGCTCCTCCTTCAAGATAGTTTGCACCAGAAGTCCCTCCAGCCAAGGGACATAAGGGAAGCCTAGTGTCAAAGTAGTAGACCTAGGCTGGAAATCACCAATTTGGTTTTGGCCTGGGTTTCCTGAATGATTTCCCTGATCTCAAAGAAGCAGTGCCTTGCCAAGAATGATGGATTTTGATGATTTTAAGTGATCCTGCTCCATCTAGAAACACTCTATAATGAAGCTAGTTCATCAGGCAAGGTGTTTAATATTTATTGTGGCCTGAAGTCTGAGTCCTCAGAAATCAAACTGACTTTACCAGTAAATTGGTGATCTGCCCCTGTACTAAGCTCTTTGTAGTGACCTTCTGTAGTGGGTATGAGCACACAACATCATGAATGGCTGCATCGAGCTGGGGACTGCCAGTTGAAGCTACCATGGGTTTGAGAACATAGTTCTGGGCTAGGTGTGTAGCTCACTGGTAGAATGATTGCCTGGCATGTGCAAGGCCATGAGTTCAATCCCCAGGACCACCAAAAAAAAAAAAAAAAAAATAGTTCTACTTGTTAGTATAAACTCTTTTGTATTATTTTGATGCCACTTGATTTCTTCCACCACCACCATTTCAGTGTTTCACTTTAGCATTAATTGTAACTACAAAATAAAATCTTCAGGGCTATTCACAATCATCTTAGTTTTTAAAAAATCCAGAATTTTAGAATTGTATTTTGACTCAAATCTCAAATTTGTTTACAGAATTTATTGGGATCTTTCTCATTTGTCAAGTCATTTATTTTAAAAAGAAAAAATCTAGAAGTATAACATAGCTATAAGTTTATTTCTATATAGTTCCATTAATTCTTTAGGAAAAAAGGGGCAGGGGTTGCTGAATACTGGACTAAATGAAGGCCAGCCCCTGTCCTTCTCAGAATGTCCACTAGGGGACGATAGAAGGCAGGTTTGCACTTCACTAAGAAAGGAAGTCTATCTGCCTCTGGGTAAATGGATTCAATCCTTGTAAGACTACTTTCTTGATTATGTTCCTGTGGCTTACTTTGAATAGACACTAATTACTTTGTTTTAAAATTGCTGTCGCTTCTGTTTTCTCTCTGATGTGTTTCATATAATGAAAGAATTCACCAGAGCATAACCAAGTGGCTATTTTCAGGAAGCGGAGAGACTGATTTTGCACCCCAACTTAAAAGCCTAAATAAGAACCTCTTCACTGTGGTGGCCTGGGATCCTCGAGGATATGGACATTCCAGACCCCCAGATAGAGACTTCCCAGTGGACTTTTTTGAAAGGGATGCAAAAGATGCTGTTGATTTGATGAAGGTGGGTCCCCGGGAAATGCTCAGGGAAGGGTTGGTGGCTGGGCCTGTCTTCATTTGTTTTGCTCAGTTTTTGTTGTTATTTCTTTCTACAAATGCTGTACCCCATGTGATTGCTACAGAAAGTCCAAATGATTCAAATAGATGTAAAGATGAATGTAGAAATACTCCACAATCAAGCTACTTAGATACACCACTATTAATACTTTAAGACTGTCTTTCTGACCAGTCTTATGATAAATATAAACACACAGTTTTGTATTGATGGCATCATGCTATTCCTGATGTTCTTCTAACATACTGTTTTTATTGAACAATTTCTAAAGAAGATACTTCCATGTCAATAAACATGCTTTTGCATCTGTTTTATAATAGGTGCCTGCCACACTTGTCTCCTCTTACCCATGGTTTCACTTCTTTGGTTTCAGTTACTCATGGTCAACTGTGGTCCAAAAATATTAAGTGGAAAATTCCAGAAATAAGTCATAAGTTGCTTTTTACTCTTTTAAAATTTCAATTTAATTTTTTTAACTGGTACATAAAAATATAGAAACTGTACATATTGGTTGAGGATATAACTCAGTGGTAAAGTGCTTGCCTAGCATTCTCAAGGCCTTAGATCTGATCCCCAGCACTGGGGGAAAAAATACACACACACACACACATGCGCGCACACACTTGTTAATGTGTAGTTACCTTACTGTCCTAAGTTTAACTTCAACACCATTCTGAGTAGTATGATGAAATCCTGCACTGTTCTGCTCCATCCCCTCCATCCTGCCTGGGACAAGAATCATCCCTTTGTCCAGTTTATCCATCCTGTATCCTGTGTGTGTGTATAGGATAAAATGTAGCATGCTTGGCACTGTTTTCAGGCATCTACCAGTAGTCTGGAAGTGTATGGGAGTGTTCCCCACAGATAAGAGGGAAAGTAACTGTATTTCACTGTATAGATGCACCGTGTCTTACTTCACCTGTTATATAATGGTAGATAACAATAGGACTTAATTTTTAAGTTGCGTTTTTTTAATTATAAACATTAGTACACTGAGCATTCTGTTGTCATGACATTTTGGTTCTTACTTTTTTGCTATTTTAAACAAGGTTGTTGCAGACTTAATGGACCCATCTCCTGGCACATGTGTACAAGAATTTCATGCAAATTTAGGAGAAATGTGCTGGGTTATAGAAGATATAAATATTTATGTTTATGAGTTAGTACCAAATTATTACCTCTAGTAGTATGCTAATATATAAATCCCATCAGCAAATATTTTGGTCTAATATTTGTTTTTTTTTAACTTTAATATTTTTAGTCATTCTATTTTTAATTCTAGGCAACATCTCTCAAACATAATCTTTGTTAGTTTTCTCTGCCAAACACAGATTCATGCCCTGGTTAATTCACCCAAGGACCTGCAACCCGGTGACACTCTTCTCTCTCAACCCATCTCTCGTGGTCTGTTCCCACAGTTGCAGTCTGTGGCTTCACCAGATGTCCTACTTCATTTCATCCAAGAAACCTCAGGTCCCCTCTGTAATCCATATAATTGCTCTCAAATCCTTGTTTAAGGAGTGCACATGCGCACGCATGCACATACACAATTTGTCATATCCAAATACAGCTGATCTCCATTGATTCTATTCCCTTGACATTTTATCCAACCAGAAGATGTAATTCCCTCATAATTTAAAACAGCTGTACTCAAATCCTATGACAATTATATTTTCACCCAAACTAATTGAGAGAAAACACTGTTACCAAGTAGTAGACTCTAGGATTTCTTTTTTTTTTTCTTTTGATACTGGGGATTGAACCCAGGGATGCTCTTCCACTGACCTACAACCCCAGCCCTTTTTAGTTTTACTTTTGATACAGGGTCTCACTAAGTTGCTTGCGGTCCTCCTGCCTCAGCATTCTTAGTTGCTGGGATTACAGGCATTTATCCTCGCACCCAGCTAGGATTCATTCTTGATACTCCAGAGCCCCTGTATTGATTCTGATCATTTTTTAATCTCAGGTTCTTTTAGCAGGAAGGAACAATAACCTCTGCTGTGGTTTTCATTGTATTTCTCACAGACGCTGAAGTTTAAGAAGATCTCTCTGCTGGGATGGAGTGACGGTGGCATAACTGCACTCTTTGCTGCTGCGAAGTATCCATCTTACATCAATAAGATGGTGATTTGGGGAGCTAATGCCTATGTCACTGAAGAGGATGAAAGAATTTATCAGGGTAGGTTCTGTCGACCCCAGGCGATGACTGATCTTTATTTCTGTCCTCATCTCTTATTTTGATGTGTTGATAAGTCATATCATCCATTTCTAGTTCTTGGCTCTAAGGCTGGAAGAATAGTAAGTGCTCAGAAAAGTAATGTCATTTAACCCATCTGAAAATAGAAGACTTTCTATTTCCAGAAGTGAAACTTCTGTGACTCAGGAAAAGTCTAAGGAAAAGCAGTATTTACATTTACTACCACTGGTAGTGAACTTGAAAAAAGGAGGAGGTGTGTGAAGTGTTATTCATAACCTCATTTAAAATAATGTGGGCATAAAAGGGAACATCGAATTCAAATATGAAACTTTCATTTTGATTGTAACAGTTTCTGTGCTATTTGCATTTTTAAGGTAGTCCTTCAAGCTTCTTTTATCGGTTTTTAGGGGCACTCAAGCAGAGACATGTGGGTCAAATCTGGCCTGCCGAATGCTTTTTCAAGGCCCAGGCTTCAACTAAGGAGGCTAATGCTGTGTGAGTCATGGAGACCAAGCCGGAGATCCACTCCACCCCTTCCCCATTTCTTTTCCACTCCCAGCATTGCTTCCCAGGGCCTGTCCTGGTGGCCACGGCACAGGGGGGATTATTGGTAAATACCACACACTCAGACATGAAATAGCTCCACTTCCAGCCAGCTGCCCAAATCGAGATGACCAGGCTCTCAGGAGTAGAGAATGATTCTTCTGGGTCTGAAGGTTATTGGGGAAAAAAGTAAAACTGACCTGGGCTACCTCCACCTGTTAGCCTGACCACTAGGACCCTTCCTTGTAGACTTGTAGCTTTTTGTCCCGAGTATATTTCTTTTGGACCTCAAATGGTTCACCCTAGGCAGTTAGGTCTAGATGGATCAGGCATTTTCTATCCTCACATATTGAAGTATCCTCATAATGTCTTTGATTTTACCTCTTGGCCTGCAGAGACTGATATATTTACTCTCTGGCTCTGTACAGAAAAAGTTTACAGACCCCTACATTAGGCTATCACAGGCCTCGCCTTTCCTGCTCTTCTGCAATTCATATGCCTTAGTAAGCTACTCAGTAATAGTGTCCCATTGTATGATCTTAGTTCTTTACAGTCTCTTGTTTTATTTCATTTTAGTTGTAGATGGACACAATACCTTTATTTTATTTATTCATTTTATGTGGTGCTGAGGATCAAACCCAGTGCCTCACACATGTGAGGCAAGGGCTCTACACCTGAGCCACAACCCCAGCCCCATCCTACAGATTTTGATATGCCATATTTTCATTCAGTTCAGAATATCTTCTAGTGTCTCTTCACCATAGCTTTTTAGAAGAGTATTTTCTTTTTTTTTTTAATATTTATTTTTTCGTTTTCGGCGGACATAACATCTTTATTTGTATGTGGTGCTGAGGATCGAACCCGGGCCACACGCATGTCAGGCCAGCGCGCTACCACTTGAGCCACATCTCTAGCCCTAGAAGAGTATTTTCTAATTTACAAATATTTGGGGTTTCCCAGATTACCTTTCTGCTATTGGTGACTAGTTAATTTCATTAGGTTCAAAAAATATACTTTGTATGATTTTGTTCTTTTATGTTTGCTAAATTTTATGCTCCAGAATATGGTATGCTTTGGTCTAAAGTTGAACTCATTATTTCTTGATTTTTCTTGTGCTCCACCCTTGCTCACTTGTTCTTTCCCATAATTACTCTGATGACCTGCCTAGATGTGTAAGCCCAGCCCCAGAGTCATCCCTTGAGGGCTCAGCTCCTCTGCCCTCTACATTTTACTGTGACTTCATTCCATTGATACCATGCTCAGAACACTGCTCATGTTATCCCCTCCTCTCTTCCCGACCCTCCATGTTCCTGGTTCTGTTCCTTTGCCTTTTCTGTTAATTTGCCCTCCACAGGAGAGTGTCCTTTCCAAGACAATAATCTGACCATTTAATCATCCCACTTAAAATCCTTCAGTAAAGGCCACACTACTGGCTCACCACCAGTCAGGCCCCACCCAGCTTTCTTGCCTCATTGCCTCCTGTTCCCTGGCCCTTCCTGTGCATTTCTTGCATTGCACAAATTGCCATTCTTGAAACAAGCTTTCCCCTTCTAATCTCTGTGCCCTTGTACCTGTGATGTACCTGCTGCATTGACCCCTTCCCACCACATCCTCCCCGGCAGACATGTCCTCACCCCATTGCCTGCTTCTGGGGCACCACCTCTATGAAGGCCTCCCAGAGTCCTTTAGCCTGGTGCTGATTTCCCCCGTGACTCTGTAACACTTTGCAATTACTTGTGCAATAGCCCTTCATCCTGGGCGCTGGCGCCCTTTTACCCCTTTGCCTCAGTCACTGTAGTGTGTGTTCACCATTGCAGTGGCTCTGACTTCTAGGAGCACAAAATACAACTCCCAACCCCACACCACTTTTACCCTCTAATGTATCTCTGCTTCTCTCCCTGGCCATCTTCTTGGCCACTTCCTCATCCCCCAGTCTCTCCTTGTGACAAGGTGACTTCAGACCCACCAATCCAATAGATAGAGGGCCTTCCATTAAACCAACCCACTAGACACTGGCTGCCTTTTTCCTGGCTCATTCTGCAGCATTTGAAGATGGGCTCATGGTGTGTCAATACTGATCACACCCCTCCTCTTGAAGCTTCCTTTTTTTTTTTTTTGACTTGGCAGGGGTCGGGTGGCAGTATGTTGCCCATGCTGGTCTCAAACTCCTAGGCTCAAGTGATCCTCATGCCTCGTCCTCCCAGGTAACTGGGATTACATGTAGATGCCATCACACACGGCCCTCTTCTCACTCTTAGACATCCTTGTCTTAACTCCTAAATTCCAGATAATTCAGCTTTTCATTTTATTTTCTTATCTGGTTGCCCCGCACATACAATAAAATTGAGCTCATAACCCTTCTCTAGACCTGTTCTTCTTCCTAAGTATCTTATCTTGCTAAATGATACACACTATAATACAGTAGTCCCCATTATCTGCAGATTTATTTTCTGTGGTTTCAGTTACTCTCAGTCAACTATGGTCTAGAAATATTAAATGGAAAATTTCAGAAATAAATACCATAAGTTTTAAATTGCCTGCCATTCTGAATAGAACGATGAAATCCCATTCTGTCCTGCTCTGCACTGTCTGGAACATGAATCTTTCCTTTTCCAATGTATACACACTGTATGCACTACCTGCCTGCCAAGTCATTTAGTAGCCATCTTGGTTATCACATGTCAAGGATGCAGTGTTTGTGTTCAATAAGGATTTACTTTACTTAATGTGGCTTCGGAGTATGGGTAGCAATGCTGGCAATTTTATTACAGTATAGAGTTATTTTTGTTATTTTTTTATAAGTTGCCATTGTTCTCTTACTATGCCTAATTTATAAATTAAACTTTTTTATGGTAGGGATCTACAAGAAAAGTCATAGTATACAGAGGATTCCAGACTATCTCTGGTTTCAGGCACAGGGGTCTTGCACATATCTCCTGAGGATAAGGGGGAATTATAGCAGCTGTGTCTAAGCTCTCTGCTCTTGAAGGCAGAGACCATATCTCATTCAAGTTTATATTGGCAGTAACCAACACATGCAGACCTGAGATAATGTTTGCAATATTCATTTACCAATTAAGAAGAGTAAACAGTTTCTTTGTTACAGTTCCAGTTTTGCACAGATTATATGCTCAAAAAAAGGAAATATATCAGTTTCTTTGGAGATCCAAATTTGTTCTGTTTTAGATCAACAAACAGTTTGATTCAAATGGTTATTTTGGGAACTTAACTATAAAACATAAATACTGTTGAATTTTTGGTGGTAATTATGCTTTGGGACAGAACTGGCTTCCTCCTGAATAAATATAAAAATACGAAGAATATTTTTGAGTTCATGTTATACGCCAGGCACTGTTGTTGTCACATTTCATGTAGTAACTTATTTATTCTTTATTTCACAGTGTTATTACATGGGGGCTGGAGATGTGGCTCAAGCAGTAACGCGCTCGCCTGGCATACAATTCCTATTTTTCTGATGAGGAAACTGTGGCACAGAGAAGTTAAGCAACTTGCTCAGTGTCACAGAGCTAGGAAGGATGAGAGCTGGGATTCACAGCCAGGCAGTCTGACTTCCAAGCTGTGTTCTTAACCACAGTGCTTGATGTGAACATCTGGCTTACTCCAGTTACAGCTGAATTTCCCTTCCTCCTGAGAGTTAGTTACTATTTCCTTTGGGAATCTGAAACTTTGCCCCAGATTTGATATTGCCAAGAGACCTCTCCCTCCAAATGCCTGCTTCTACTAAAGGTAACTCATTAAAAGGATCTCTTGCTATTTTATGATGTTTTAGCAGGAAAAACATCTTTATCCTAAACATTTGCAGTTTTGTTCATAAAAAGTCTGGCCTTTACATCACAAGGAACTGTTTTTTCAAAATTATTTTTAGGGTTTTTTTTATTATGTGATATTTGATAGGTATAATTCTACTCATGTTACATGTATGAATTATGATACCCAGGAACCTACTGTGGAGCCCAGGATATACCCTTTATCCGTGTGCTTCCTCCCAGTTCACCTCCTACCTCCACCTGAACCCTACAAATCTGCCCAATGCCTTTGTGAAAACAGTTTGTCACATGTTTTTTATTAAACAATGCAGTTTGTGTTTGAACTTTACAAAACTGATTTCATACTGTATATTGTCTTCTATAACTTATTTTTTTCACTGCCCTTTGCATTTCCCCGTCTCATGCATTTCTAAGTTGCTTACAGCTGGTAGCTGCAGTGTGTTACTTGTCACTGTTGTGTTGCATTCAGAGACGCTAGTGGGAGGATATGGCAGGTGTATGTGCTCATTCTTTTTTCCAACAGACAGCTGTTGAAGTGAACATTCCCATACTAACTCCTGAGCCTAGGAGTGACAGTATCTCCAGGGCATAAGCCCACAAATGAAATTGCTGAGTGTTTTATGTAAAGACACCACATTGTAAGTAATGACTTACTACTTTTTTTTTTTAATTTGTCTTTTTAGTTGTAGTTGGACACAATACCTTTATTTTATTTTTATTTTTATATGGTGCTGAGGATCGAACCCAGGGCCTTGCACATGGTAGGCAAGCGCTCTACCACTGAGCCACAACCCCAGCCTTATGATGACATATTACTCTTAATCTGAAAACACACAAAACAGCATGTGTGAACTGAGAAGCTCTGCATTTGGTCCTCCTTCCCAATGGCTGCATTTCCACCTTGACAGCTCTGCCTTCAGAGTCACCTCTGCCCTCTTTTCAGGGTTTTCTTTTTCTCATGTAGGCAAACTCACATACATTCTTTAAATACATAATTTGCATGAATTATTACAACTCCATCAAGGCATCAGAATTACATTTTATGAAAGATCTAGGCTGGGCATTGTGGAATGCACCTGTAATCACAGCAATTGAGGAGGCTGAAGCAGGAGGATTACAAGGTCAAGGTCAGGCTCTGCAACTTAGAGAGGCCCTCAGCAACTTAGCAAGACTCTGTCTCAAAAATAAAAAGGGCTAGGGATGTGGCTCAGTGGCTAAGCATCCCTGAGTTCAATCCCAGGTACCAAAAAAAAAAAAAAAAAAAAAATCTAGTTGTTCTACTGTTAAAGGGCCTCTCATAGGGTATATCCTCAAGATACCACAAAGTAGAAGTATGTACAAGGAACTTTTAGTATTTTGAGCAGGGACACTGGGGATCAAACCCAGGGTCTTGAGCATGCTTATAATCTATCACTGAGCCACCCACCCCCAGCCCCTCTACAGGGAATCATTTTACTCCTTCTTTACATCATCTTGCTAGCCTCTCTCTTTTTTTCCCCCACTCTCCCAACTCCCCTTCTTAAATCTTCTCTCCACTCTGGATTTTCAGGCTGGTTCTCTACCCCTCTCTGAAGTCTTTTCACTATTGTGCAAAGCAGTTTGGCCTTTCCTGGCCTCTGTAGTCAACGCCTTCTGAATTGACTTCCCTCTGAATATTTAAACCAATCAGCAGAAGCAAAGACAGGCACCCTCCAATAATAGAATCTACCCCCTCAGAAGACAGTTGTAGTTGTAAGTAGCAGTTTTTCCTGTATTTGGTTATTCCCATTCACTATGTAAACTTTGAGAGCCTACCAAATGTCAGGCACCATCTGGAGTGCTGTATAGATTATTGTTCAATGTGAGTTTGTATCACTGGGTTTGATCTCCAGAGTCCCTGCTCAGTGTCATCTTGTTTTTTGGGTTCATCCTTGAGCAGGAACACTATATTGAAAGCTCTCAATAAGCAATATTTCATATGTTCTAGAGCACTAGAATCTTTATCACAGCATTTAAAGAAATATGGGAAAGGTTAAGCTAAGTAATTACATGTGTTGATTTACTTTAAATGTTTTTAGCTATTATAATAATAGAATACATATAATAATTCCAACTAATGAATCACCTGTAATATAGTTTGGGGTTAGAGTTTGCTTTTATACTCTATTTCTTCACTAATAGAATTTAATAATTTGTATGTTTCTTGAGGTACCAATTCTCAAAAAGAACTGGCCCTCCATGTCTGTATCCATGGGTTCTCAATCTGTAGATTTGAGCAACCACTGTGAAAAATATGTGGGGGGAAAAATCTATCTGTACTGAACATGGACAGGCTCTTTTCCTCGTCATTATTCCCTAAACAATACAATAGAACTATATATATCATTTAAATTGTATTTGATATCATAAATGATCTAGAGATGGTTTAAAGTGTACAGGAGGATGTGGATGGATTCTGTGTTAAGTCTCATGCCATTTTATATCAGGGACTTGAGCATCCACAGACTTTGAAATCCACAGGGGATCCTGAAATGAATCCTCCCACATACAGGAGGGATGACTGAAGTGTCACTCTTACCCAGGCAACCCTAGTAAGAGGAGTATTTTCTTTTATCTTTTACTTTTAAGAGAAAGCACTTGGTACAGGTCTAGTTTCATTCACTTGGTAAATATTTATTGTGGGAGGCACAGGCCGAGGCCCCAGGTGTACAGCAGGGCACAAAGCAAAAGCCCTTACATTGGGGTGCATATCCTGATGGGGAGATAGACATTCAGCCATAAATGCAGAAAAGGGTGCAAAGCTGTGACAGTTGCTAATGGGGAGGGGGCGCTGGCTGACATCTGAATGGAGACCTGGAGGATTTGTTAAAGTTTCGTCCCAGGGTTTCATAAACTGACTTCCAGACCACTCACGTATAATCGAATCAAGCCTTTATTGAAGCACACCAGTGGCAACTAACCAGAACATAAAGCTGTTCCCCTGATCAGCCCTGAACAATTGCAAGAGCACTCCTTATAAGCCTGAAAACCGCAAAAGGAACGTTTGGGGGTCCAGCCAATGCAAGCAAGCCAGGTTACAGAAGCGGGAGAGTGTAGTCAGACGCTTAACCAATCACAATTAGCCCAGTCACCCCAGTTACAGAAATAATGCCCCACTAGGTAGTTCCATGTTCTTAAAGGTTTCTATAGCAAAAGGAAAAGAACATCTTGCCCTGATCATGACCCTTCTACTTTGCATGGTTGTTTTACAAAATGGAGTCACAAAACAAAATGGAGTCACTTTGGTTTGACTATCACAGATTGAGCTGTGCAGCTACCAGGGAAGGCCTTCCCGAGCAGATGGAACAGTGAGCAGGAGGCTCAAGGTGGCCTGTGCTGGTGATATTTAAAGATAATACCTTAGGCCAGGTGTGATGGCACACACTTGTAATCCCAGTAACTCAGGAGGCTGAGGCAGGAGGATTGCAAGTTCAAAGCCAGCCTCAGCAACTTAGTAAGGTGCTAAGCAACTTAGCAAGACCCCATCTCAAATAAAAAGAACTGGGGATGCAGCTCAGGGTTAAGCACCCCTGGTTTCAATCTCTGGTACCAAAAAAAAAAAAAAAAGAATACCTTAGTGTGAGTCTGACTCCATCCTTCTCCACACTTCTGTTTTTCAGGTATCCGAGATGTCTCTAAATGGAGCGAAAAAGCAAGGAAGCCTCTAGAAGCCCTGTATGGATATGACTACCTTGCCAAAACCTGTGAAAAGTGGGTGGATGGCATAGGACAGTTTAAACATCTACCAGATGGTAGGTTGCATGAACTGCTTAATGGCCGTCCTTATGAGAAGATGCTTGAGTTCTTCCTGGGTGTTCTGCATTCCTCAGCCAATGATGAATTTACCCACTATCCTTATACATAAATGTGTGAATAGAGAACACTAGATATTATACACAGTACAAGCTCTTGCATACTAAATCTGCTTTAAACGTGAGACAGTACTCTTGCGTAAAGATTCATAATGTTGAGCCTCTAATAGCAGACTGTTCTTTTTTCCTTTGTGTATATAATGACAAATGAATTCTCCAGAATCCTTGGTTTGGTTTTTATTTTCTAATTCCAGCCTAGGCAATTAGAAAACAAGTCGCGGTGTAGACAGTATTTTCCCCCTTTTATCCATTTAGATGTGTCACCTCACTATACATCTCCTCTTCCTGCAACAAAAAAGGAGAAAATTTCTATCCAGCTTCAATCCCAGCAGTATTAGTATGGGAAGAAAATATTCAGTTTGGTTTGGTTTGATACTGGGGACTTAGCAAAGGGGAACTTTACCACTGAGCTATGTCCCCAAGCCTTTTTAATTTTTTTTTTTTAATTTTGAGACAGGGTCCTGCTAAGTTGCTTAGGGACTTACTAAATTGCCAAGTCTGGCCTCGAACTTGCAATCCTCCTTCCTCAGCTTCTCAAGTTACTGGGGTTATAGGTATGTACCACCATGCCCAGCTGAGAGTATGTGGTTCTTTACTCATCTTCAGAACTAAGTTATATGACCTTAGCCATGAACAAAATGTTTCCCCCTTTTTTTGTTCCGAAAAATTAACAAGATTTCCATGAACAGTAAAAATTGAATCTTTAACTGAAATTCAGAGTTATTCTATTTTTATACCAATATGTGTTAGTCATCTTTCTGTAACTTAAATAAATACTGAGATAATCAACTTAATAAAAGAAAAGGGTTATTTTGACTCAAAGGTTTAGAGGTTTTGGTCCATGGTCACTGGCCCTTTTGCTTTTTGGCCTGTGGTGAAGCAGCACATCATAGTGGGAGCAGGTAGAATAGCTAAGTCATCCCAGGGCTGCAAAGTGGAGAAAAAAAGAAAAGAGGAATAAATGGTGTCCTACAATCCCCTTTGAGGGGATGCCCCAGTGACCTAAAGACCTCCCCCTAGACCCCACCTTTTAAAGGTTCCACAACCTACCAATAGTGCCACTCTGGGAAACAGGACTTCAATGCATGGGCCTCTGGGGGACATTTAAGATCCAAGCTATAACAAGCTATTTGTGTTTGGAATGCCTGTTCTCTTTGTTGTTGTTGTTGTTTTTAATTGCTAAAAGAATAGAATGCTAAGATTTAATCTTTGAACACATTCAAATGCTTGTGATGGAAGGACAAATTTAATATATTAGACAGTCATTTACAGCATGAATCATCTGTTATATCAAAACTTTCACAATGAAAAGGACTTTTGGAAATGTTACATTTCTGGTTTAAGTTTGAAACAGCAAATACATGCCTTAAAATGATACTATCAAACACAGCATCCACCCATAGAAGCAGTCCCTTGAAAGATACTTCCCTCCACTGTTAAAACAAACAAAATTGCTATGAAACAATGGTCAGTTCTCCACTGAAGGGTTTACATTGTGAAATGTACAGTTTTATGCTTTATTGAAGAGGGCAATGAAAAGTTAGGAAGATCCAAATGCAGAGTTAAATAAGCAATTGAAAATAATAATAACTCCCTCATAAGATTGAGCAGTGTAGAAGTCATCCACAACAATACTGTGCATAACTTATTTCCCTTCTGTGCTAATTAATTTGACTGGAGCTCTTGCTTATCACTGTACTCTCAGGTTTATGGGTACTAGGGATTAATTGTGCAGCTTTGGAGTCAGAAAGGCCAAGGTTTGAATTCTGGCTTTTCCACTGGACTTGCTGTTAAGGTGGATTTGGGCTGATGACTTCACTTGTCTAAGCTTCAGCTTCCTGTCTGTGAATTGTGCGTATGATTAGCTATCTCATAAAGTTGTTGTGGGGATTAACTGAGATAATTCATTTCACCTGTGGTATAGTACCACAAGTGGAGTGTTTCATGAAAGACTGTTATTATTGTTATTTTAAAAGCACTTAATTTACAAATAATTGTACAAAGTGAGTCAAAACATGTAACTACTGTAAAGCCTGAACAAATATGCAGTGGTTTAAATAGCTTTGAAACACAGTGAACACTCAATGACACTGGCATTCGTCATTGTCATTTGATTACACAGTTGGCAGGTTCATGTTGTCCCAGGGACAGGAGCAGGAAGCTTCAGAGACCAAGAGAAGTCTTTCCCCAGGCAACAGATCACTTTCTCAGTTGGTGGACAGCTACCTCCAACTGAAGAGGAGGGCAGTGGGTGGTGCCTGGGTGAGCAGAGAAGAAAGGAAGGACAAGGGAGGAGCTAGCTTTATGGATGCCCAGAACCTTCAATATGGCTCTCTTTTTGCCTCACAACAACCCAGGAAACTATGATTATTCCTATTTCAGGCTGAAGCTCAAAGTGGCTAAAGAGCCATCAATATTTCAGAGGCAGGCAGGGGCTGGGGTTGTGGCTCAGCGATTGAGCGCTCTCCTTGCACGTGCAAGGCCCTAGGTTCGATCCTCAGCACCATATAAAAATCAATAGATAGAGGTATTATGTCCAACTACAACTAAAAAATAATAATAATTAAAAAAAAAAAAGATTTCAGAGTCAAGAGAAAGACAGGAACTGCAGCCCAGATTATCCAAATTGCCTCAGAAATGTTATGAATAGGAGCTAGATCCTCATGTTCTCTCAAGGTATGGTGGCCAGGGGTGTCACCAAGGCACAAGCATGAAGAGAAGCTTATTTCCTGCATACAGACCATAACTTCATTGTGAGGCCCACACGCCTGGAGACGTGACTTCGAGGGGAAGCTTTCGAGGTGTCAAGCACCTGCTCATGGCAGATAGGCCACCTCCTATGTAATATAAAGAATTGTGGGATTTCCTTTTGTTTGATTTTCCTTCTGTTTCATATGAATTATGAATTTTAATCAAGCAAAGCTTTTTGTTTGCTAGTAGAGCTTAAAACCAAACAATAACCAAAAAAATAGAAAAGGAAACCCCAAGAATATTAGACCTGTAGAGAACCCCAAATCTAAACCATTGTTTTCACAGAAAAACTGAAATCCAAAGAGGAGTATGTGTATTAGTCAGTTTTCTATTGCTATAACTAAATACCTCAGATAATTTACTTATAAGAGAAAGGGTTTGTTTGAGCTTACAGTTCTGAAGCTTCCAGTCCATGATCGAGTGGCCCAGTTACTTTGGGTCTCTGATGAGGCAGCACATCATGGTGGGAGTCTGTGGCAGAGCAGAACTGCTTACCTCAGAAGTCAGGGAGCAAAAGGATCCCACAATACCCTTCAAAGGCTTGATCGCAGTGACCTAAAGTCTTTCCACAAGGCCCCACATCCTGAAGGTTCCACACTCCCTAGTGGCACTTCTCTGGTGACCAAGCCATTAATACATGGGCCCATTCAAGATCCAAACTGTAGCAGGAAGCCTCTGTGCATTCTTTCTTTCTCAACATGCAGAATGATCATGCTTCAGTTCTTCCTCTTTACGCTTCGGTAGATTCCTCATGCTCTTTGTCTTTCAGGTAACATCTGTCGGCACTTGCTGCCCCTGGTTCAGTGTCCCACCCTAATTGTGCATGGAGAGAAGGATCCTCTGGTCCCACGTTTTCATGCTGACTTCATACATGAGCAGGTGAAAGGGTCACGGTGAGTTCAGGCACCGCGTCAGCACCCGTGTCTACAAAGTCTCAGTGAATGAGAGAAGCCACAGGAAGAAAAAGAAGCAGGGGAAGGTGGAGTTTTAGGTGTTCACTAGGATATAGAGGAAGTGAAGAATAAAAGTAGAAGTTAGATTAAGATTATGTTTTGGGGAGCTGGGGTTGTGGCTCAGTGATAGAGCACATGTGAGGCACCCGGTTCAGTCCTCAGCACCACATAAAAAATAAATAAAATAAAGGAGTTGTGTCCATCTGGAACTAAACTATATATATATATATGATTATGTTTTGGTGAATGTAAAGATTTAATAGAAAAGTTTATACATTGATTTAATAGGCAATAAGGCATTTTCAAACTAGACTTTTATAATATTTTAATACTTTGTCATGGTTGTGGTACAAAATTCAAACAGAAAATATTTTCTTATTAATCCTAAAAGTTTTCTATATAATCTATCTTTGTTATTTTAATATTATATATAGTGTATAGCGTGATGCTTACATATAGGCATTATTTTTAAATTTAAAAATTGAATTTTACGTATAAAATCTAATTATATGCCATGACAATCATGGAAAAAATATCCATTTTACAGATGGGAAACCAAGGCTGAACAATATTAAGCCATCTTTCAAGGTGGCAAAGATCCTAGAGTTTCTCCTCCTGATATAGTGCTTTTCCAGCATAGCACAGGTGGTTTTCACAAATGTACTCTTTCTATGATGGTAAAATGCTGAGAATAATATACTGAGTGGCCTGGTTAATTGTTTTCTAACTTCAGCTTCAGAAATGACAGGTATTTTTCACACTGACACCTATAGTAAATGCAATGTGTCCCCTTAAAAAGCCAGGTTCAATAAAAGTAAAAGCAAAATAGTTTAGTTTAGTAATTCTATTCCAGACCCATCTCCTAGCAACAGAATATATCAATATGGGAGAGAATACACCCTTACCATGCATTTATTAGCTGCTTCAGTAGACTTGTGGAAGATCATTTTCTTACAGCACTATTCTTTGGAATCAATGTGCTAAAGGTAAATGTTATTAACAATTATTATCTAAAACTGGCCTGTATTTTCTACTTTCTTCACTAAAAAGAGCACTTTATATTGGTCATGAACCTACCTAGACTACAACTGGTTATTTAGGAGCCCACAAAAAGAAGATGCATTTCTTGAGTACCAAAATCCTACTGTGATTCTGTGCTCCAGAATCTGACAATAGGGAAGCAGTGTAGCATTGCAAGCTTCTGGTGAACCTGATTTTTCCCTGCCTTGCCAGGTGCATGTTTAGTTACACTTGACGGAATAGCCTATGCCTTCACAGATTTTTACCAAGGAATACATATTGTATGTGACATAAACACCAAGCTGCCTTCCCTTCTCGGGAGAGGCCTGCTTCCAGCTTATGTTTATTTGTCTCCTCCTCTTTTGCTTTTCTCTTTTTGTGAGAGAGGAATCATAAAGTCGTGTGGAAGTAAAGAGGCCTTACAGAGAATTCAAATTTATGGTTTTAAATGTTTGTTTTTAGGCAGCTGAATCCCTCCCCCTAACAAACTCTTATGCAAAGGCCAATATGCAAAACACAGTGAGAGCTGCTCTGATCACAGCAGCAGTGGGCAACCCTGCCCTTCATGTTCTGTACCGGGCCCAGCCCCTGGATACCCCCTGTATGTCCAGAGCTCCCTCCTAGATAGGAAAGTGCTGACACTGCTTACCATGTGTCTGGTCCACAGGCCTCTATGTGACAACCTCCTGTTACCAAGCATGGCATTACCTGTGAGGCCACCCTCGGCTCACTTTCAGAGATTCTTGTTGAGCAGAGGTTGACACCCATCAAACTCTAGGGTCAGGGTTTATAGCCCCTGGGAAGCAGCAGGGCTGGGCCTACTCAGAAGAGGATGTGACTACACAGCTAGGTCAAGCCAAGTGTGTATTCAGGATGTATATCAGCTAGGGCTGCCATGAAAAAGTGACAGAGATTTATAGATGGTCCCTGGCTTACCCATGGTTCAGCTTAGGTTTTCAACTTTACAATACATTCTGTTTTCACTTACATTCATTTACATGAGATGTTCAACACTTTATTATAAAACAGACTTGGTGTTAGATGATTTTGACCAACTGTAGGCTAATGTAATTATACTAAACATATTTAAGGTAGGCTAGCCTAAGCTATGATATAGGGTAGGATAGATAGGAGAAATGTATTAAATGGATTTTTTTTTTAAAGAGAGAGAGAGAGTTTTTTTTAATATTTATTTTTCAGTTTTCGGTGGACACAACATCTTTTTTTAATTTTTTGTGGTGCTGAGAATCGAACCCAGTGCCCCGTGCATGCCAGGCGAGCTCATTACCGCTTGAGCCACATCCTCAGCTCCTTAAATGGATTTTTTGATTTATAATATTTTCTTTGCATGTGTTTTTTAATCCATTGATGGCACCTCTCATTTACATCTAGCTGCCATGGAAAGAAAGCTTTCGCTACAGTCAGAAGGCCCCAGCCAGATTCCTGGAGTCCCAGCAGATTTGGAAAGACTTTGTCCTCCATAAGCCATGTAAAAGCATCAATCCAGCCGACCTAGTAGCAGTGGTCCACTTCAAGCTGCAGCATTGCCCAAAAACCAGCCTCTGAAGCAGTTCCCTTTCTTCCTAATACTTGAGACATGATTGCATTTGAGCAAAGGAACTTCTTAGTGAGATGTTCACCTATCATTCCCAAATGCCTCGTTGAATAAAGTTGGCCTTGCCCAATCCCAGCTTTACCAGCTGAAAGGAGCTTGCAGCCACCTGACATTACCTTTTTTTTAGGGCATTCTAGAAGGAGCTGAATAAAAATAGAAAGGTTTTGTTTTTGAGTTAAAAGGAGCTATTATGGGCAACCAGGTTTGCATGACCTTGGAAGGAGTAGTGTAGTGACAAGGCCTCCCTACAGCCATCTTGGTGTCTACTTTCATAATGGAAAAGATCCTCTTTCAAAGAATCAGCAATTCCTTTGTTTTCTAATGAAAGTAGAAGTGTTCACATTGTTCCTGGCAATTTTATAGGTTTGTAAACAACTAAAAGTTCTATCACACTTCATCCAAAGCAAAGACACCCAGCAGACATTTCTTATAGCCTTGTCACTATCTATAGTTCTCACAGTTCAATATGGAAACCAAAAGAGCTGAGAGTGGGAAGGAAAGCTAACATGGTAAGGCTAGTGTCACACCCATGCCAGCGTCACCCAGGACTATATTAAGCAGAGATAAGGTGACCTCTGGACTCACCCTGTCAGGTTAGACAGCTTCTAATTCCCCAAAAGATCTAGAATTATGTCTCTCTTTCTTTTTTTTTTTTTTTTAATTTTTTATTGTTGGCTGTTCAAAACATTACATAGTTCTTGATATATCATATTTCACAATTTGATTCAAGTGGGTTATGAGCTCCCATTTTTACCCCATATACAGATTGCAGAATCACATCAGTTACACATCCATTGATTTACATATTGCCATACTAGTGTCTGTTGTATTCTGCTGCCTTTCCTATCCTCTACTATCCCCCCTCCCCTCCCCTCCGCTCCCCTCTTCTCTCTCTGCCCCCTCTACTGACATTCGTTTGTCCCCCTTGTATTATTTTTCCCCTTCCCCTCACTTCCTCTTGTATGTACTTTTGTATAACTCTGAGGGTCTCCTTCCATTTCCATGCATTTTCCCTTCTCTCTCCCTTTCCCTCCCACCTCTCATCCCTGTTTAATGTTAATCTTCTTCTCATGCTCTTCGTATGTCTCTCTTTCTAAAGGTTCCAAATATGATGTATAACCTGCCCTAGTGAATAGGAATTTATGCCCACCCACTGAAGCCCCTTCATTTCCAACTCAGCCATGTGTTTAGTGGTGGAGTATTTCATACCAGTTTCCTGGAGAATGTGATTATTTGAAAATCACTGTCCAGGGGACATGTAATTAGATCCTTTTGTTATCTGGGTAAGAGTAAGGTTAGGGGTACAATTGTTCCATGCCCTTGACAGCCAATATTTACACCTTTGTGTTGTAATCCTCTTCCCAAAGAGGAACAGAAGACAGGTTTCCTGTAGAGCAAATTTTGTGTCCTTTGTAAAGGAGGGAGGTATACTAAGAACCTCAAAATAGTTCCCAAAAGGTATTAAGGGTAAAAATAATTTTTTTATATTTTCATTTTTTTGTTCATCCATCCATCCATGTATCCATTCACTCACCTATCCACTCACCCATCCATCTATCCATCTATCCATCCACCTGCCCACCCATCTGGTATCCAGAGCAGGTCTCCCATGTTTATTAGTGAAGAGGACCCAGTTTTTATTTCCCCAAGAACTAGAGCATTAGTAGAAAGACTGCACAGCTGGTATCTCTTTCCTTCCTTATAGGAATGAACAAATTGTAAAAACAGGGTAGCCATGTGACTGTTGGACAGTTACTGAAGAGGACTTCAAGTTTGGCCATTTGGGGCTCTGCCTCAGAATACACATCAGGGGATGTATTTTGGCCTAAACTACCTTTTTATTGCCTTTCAACATCCTTGGCAACTGGTTCTTTCCTTCTCCTAAAAACAGAGGCTTTGAGCATCCCCTGAAGGCCGCATTTCTTGTGTAGGGCAACTGGATCCTCTCTTTGGGGTTGTTGTGGGGGCTGATTCTTTTCTGAACAGCATTAAAATTGAATTTAGAGTGTTCTAGTGATTAATAGCATTATTAGCCTTCCAAGAACTTTCAAAAGATGTCAACATTCTACCTTTCTAGTTGGTTGTCTTAGGCTCCCTTGGCTGAGTTGCAAGAGAGCCAACATCTTTTTTTTTTTTTAATAATTATTTTTTTTTTAGTTTTCGGCGGATATATCATCTTTGTTTGTATGTGGTGCTGAGGATCAAACCCGGGCCGCACGCATGCCAGGCGAGCGCACTACCACTTGAGCCACATCCCCAGCCCGAGAGCCAACATCTTCCAGGGACAATTCCCTTCCCCACCCATCCTCCCTAGTGCCCACTGAGAGTTCTTAGCCCCCTGGTGCTGAACGATTGGAGCTCTAAATAGTGTGGTAACTGGAGTTTTGCTCGATGTGTATTCCTTTTAAAATCCAGTTGTCATTGTAGACAAAATATCTTGAACTTGTGCTTATATCCTAGAAGCTTTGTTTAAAATATTTATGATTAGCTACTTTGGTAGCTAGTGTACTCAGAAAATTGTCTTTTTTCAAGAAATTGCAAATCAGTCTCCTTTCAACAAAATCCTATTGAAAGGAAGAAGCATTACAAGGACAGTAGGTGGCTACCAAGACGGGGTGTGACAGCTGCTCAAGTGGCTCTGAATGCAGGGCTGCGGACTTGGGCCCTGCTGTCCTGGCTGTCCTAAGGAATTTTGCCATTTGTCTGGTAACTGTATTCAGGCTTATTTGCTCAGTACTCCAAAACTGACAGGATGACTTGGAACCTTGAAAGGCAGCTGTGAATTCTGATTTGTTTTTCCAGCTACATGGATACCCTAAGATACACCCACCCAGACCCCATGGTTTCTGGACATCTCCTTTAAAAAAAAAAAAAAAAAAACTTTAAAAAATATCTTTACAACCTTCTCTTAAAATCAACTTTATTAAAGTGGAATTTGATTGATTGATTGATTGATTAGTGCTGGGGATCAAACCCAGGGTTTCATGCATGGTAGGCAAGTATTCTACCACTGAGCTACATCCCAGCCCAGCTGGATTTTTTGAGTAACCACTGTGTCACCTTCACCATCGTGTTTTCCAGTCATACTGTTTGTTTCCTGATGTCTTTCCAAATACCATGGGTTTCTGTCACTATTAAGTAATTACAGTTAACCTTCATAGTGGTCAGAGGGTGGGGGGGGGGGGGGTTCACCCTATGTCCATATTCATGGAAAGTGTCTACTCTTACTTTACACCTCCCCAGTAGCAGTCAGAGAAAAATATACAGCAGTAGTGAAATATGTTTTCCTGAAATGTTGGGATGAAGGGACTTTTAAATAGTGTACCATTAATCAGAAACTTTTTTTTTTTTTTAAGGTTACATCTTATGCCAGAAGGCAAACACAACCTGCATTTACGTTTTGCTAATGAATTCAACAAGTTAGCAGAAGACTTCTTACAATGAAAACACCCCTCAGAACTTTTGTGTCTTGGTGGTTCCTTAGCATGGGGCTTGAACATGTCACTGCCTGTTAACATAATGTCCTGAAGCTTGGAAACTCCCTGCTTTATATCACAGCTCAGTTCACCTGTCTTCCCAGGCTCTCTACCCACCCAACAATGTGATTGTAAGCAAACAGGAATGACTATGGACAGCAGCTTCTAGCTTTAATAATTATAAAGATGAAATCTTATTTTTAAACATTAACTTGTGAGTTTCTATCATTGTCAAGTAAATTCCTGACATAATTTATTTTCAAATAAACTTTAAGGGGAAGTTTTGTAGTGTTCATATCTGCTATTTTATGATATCTTGAATTTATGGCATACAATTTATTTAAGAAATAAAGCTGTATTTGTCTTTATCACACTGTCCAAAAAGAACAAAAACAAGAAAATCCTTACCTAAGACCTCTATTCTAGAGATTCACTAGGAATTGGAACCGTACCAAAAAAGGGAAGGTTTGCCTCATCCCCACACTGCACTCCTTGATCACTTTTGCAAGCTTCATTTATTTTGACATTCTGGGCCGGTGAAGATGAAAAAACACGTGTTTTCATCTCTACCAAAATATAAGAAATGCTATTAATTAAGAGCAGTGAATCAAATCTTACCTTACTGATAAGAGTAAACTCTCAAACTTTGTATCTCAGAAAATTTAGGGGAAAAATAAATTATCTAAAGGGAAAATAAATGTCACAGGTTTTATACACATGCTTTTTTATTAGTATAGATATCTTAACAGACAATACTGTCATTTTTAGAGGAGATCCACATTATCACATCAACAGTGAATTTCTGACAGAGGCAAAACTGAGCACCATAGTATACCAATAGACCATGCTGGAGGACAACAGTAGTTCACTAAGGATGCACAATTTATTTAAGAAGTTCTTAAGCCTCGTCCTCGCCCTCCTCCTCCTCGAACTCCCCCTGTTCGTCAGCAGTGGCGTCCTGGTACTGCTGGTACTCGGACACCAGGTCGTTCATGTTGCTCTCGGCCTCGGTGAACTCCATCTCGTCCATGCCCTCGCCCGTGTACCAGTGCAGGAAGGCCTTGCGCCGGAACATGGCCGTGAACTGCTCCGAGATGCGCTTGAACAGCTCCTGGATGGCCGTGCTGTTGCCGATGAAGGTGGCGGACATCTTGAGGCCCCGCGGTGGGATGTCGCACACGGCCGTCTTCACGTTGTTGGGGATCCACTCCACGAAGTAGCTGCTGTTCTTGTTCTGCACGTTGAGCATCTGCTCGTCCACCTCCTTCATGGACATGCGGCCTCGGAAGATGGCAGCCACGGTCAGGTAGCGGCCGTGGCGCGGGTCACAGGCGGCCATCATGTTCTTGGAGTCGAACATCTGCTGGGTGAGCTCGGGCACCGTCAGGGCGCGGTACTGCTGGCTGCCCCTGCTCGTCAGGGGCGCGAAACCCGGCATGAAGAAGTGCAGGCGGGGGAAGGGCACCATGTTCACTGCCAGCTTGCGCAGGTCTGCATTCAGCTGGCCAGGGAAGCGCAGGCACGTGGTGACCCCGCTCATGGTGGCTGACACCAGGTGGTTGAGGTCTCCATATGTGGGCGTGGTCAGCTTCAGGGTGCGGAAGCAGATGTCATACAGGGCCTCGTTGTCGATGGAATAGGTTTCATCTGTGTTTTCCACCAGCTGGTGGACAGAGAGGGTGGCGTTGTAGGACTCTACCACCGTGTCTGACACTTTGGGCGAGGGCATGACGCTGAAGGTGTTCATGATGCGGTCTGGGTACTCCTCACGGATCTTGCTGATGAGCAGGGTGCCCATGCCTGAGCCGGTGCCTCCCCCCAGAGAGTGGGTCAGCTGGAAGCCCTGGAGACAGTCACAGCTTTCTGACTCCTTCCTGACCACGTCCAGGACCGAGTCCACCAGCTCGGCTCCCTCTGTGTAGTGGCCCTTTGCCCAGTTATTTCCTGCACCGCTCTGGCCTGCCAGAGGAAAAGAAAATATTAGCCCAGACCCATAAGGAATTCTGGATTCCTTATGTGGTAGAAAAGGTAGAACTAGTCTTAGATAACTTTTAGATAGTCTTTTAGATTTGCTTTTGTTACCTTATTTTTTTAAATTATTTTTTTCAGTTGTTGATGGACCTTTATTTTATTCATTTATTTATATGTGGCACTGAGAATTTAACTCATGTGAGGCAAACACTCTACCACTGAGTCACGACCTCAGCCCTGTTACCTTACTTTTTGTTAAGGAAAAAAGTTCAGTTATCAGTGACCTTCAAAAACCCTAGCATTCATACTAAGGTAAAAAAGCAAGTTGAAGACATATTCAACAAAACCACGTGCTTGTAATATTAAGAACAGACCTTCTGTAAACACTCTAATTAGGTGCAATTAAGCAGGCAAGGGGAAGGCAGGATGGGATCAGAGAAGAGGGGCTCTAAGCACCTTGGTCATAAGCTGTGCTACTGGCCTTTGGCTCCTTGAAGTGGTTACTTGTGGTCACCTTTGAAATTACCTGTAGCCCACAAGCCCTGTTTGAAGCTCTTCTTGCTCTTTGTTCTTTCCTTTTGGAGGCTGCTCTGTAATGGAGGCCACTGCAGTCTCTGCAGGCTGACATTCATCTCTGAGCTGTCCACAGAGGGACCAGAGACACCACCTCCCCTAGACTGAATCAGGTTAGGCCAGGAGTGGGGCTATCTGTGGACACACTCTCCCCTCAGCACTTAACTCTGAGAACAGTAAAGTGTGTGGCTATTAGGAAGAAGGTGAGTCACTTGGCCAGCTCCCATGGACCATGAGGACATACCGAACACGAAGTTGTCTGGCCTGAAGATCTGGCCGAATGGTCCCGACCTCACTGAGTCCATGGTGCCAGGCTCCAGGTCCACCAGGATGGCCCGAGGTACATACTTGTTGCCTGTGGGAACAAGAGCTTAGACCTGGGCTTGACAACCAAGTCGTGGGCAAGACTGTGCTGTATGAGCTCTCACAGCACAATTCATTACAGAAAATTCCAGCATTTGACACAAAGGGAGGAAAAAGAAAAAGGAGATGCTGAACATGCTTAGTCATGCCAAACATGCAGGAGTCTTAAGGAACCAGTAAGCTCGTTCTTTCTTTTTCTTTTTTTGCAATTTGTATTTTCCATGAATATGCAAGAAACATTTGTCATTCATATGCTCCTAGGACATTTCCTCTACCCACATGTGGAAAGCAAGGTTCACATTCAAATACTCACCAGCAGCTTCATTGCAGTACACGTTGATTCTCTCTAGCTGCAGGTCGCTGTCTCCATGGTAACTGCCAGTGGGGTCGATGCTATTCTTATCGCTGATGACCTCCCAAAACTAAAATGAAAAGGAATCGCATCAGAGTCTGGAATCCTGTCACTGAGGATGACCTTGGAATAGGGGCTACCATAGTCAGTTGAGTCCTAGACAGTGACCAGAGAGCTGCTGGCCCCCATTTCCTGCAGCAGCTGCTGCAAAGGGGCTTAGAAATCTGCAGAGCATCAGCCATATTGTGGTTACAGACTGAAAGGCTGGGAGAGGCAGTGAAGGAGAGAGCACAGCAGATCCCCTTCCGAGTGGAAGTGGATGCAGGGGAGCTGTCACTCCAGCAGGGCTGAATGTCGCTGCATCCAGGGATGGATGCCTTGGCACAGCTCTCAACTGCACAGTTCTATATCACTGACATATATTTTGGCCTCTGGGCACTAACCATAGAAAAATGAATGGGTTAGGTTGGAAAGGAGTCTGAGATTACAACTGGGCAACAGTGGAAGGAGCTGCCAGTAAGGCTGCAAACCCCATTGTAAACTTGCAGCAGGAAAGGACGGAGGAGACATCCTTGTACAGGTGCCCGCCCACAACCATGCACCATGCCTGCTGCTATTGCAGCCTGAAATTATAGCACTGCACAGTGCTGTCAGTTTCCATCTCACAGATGGAAGAAGATCATTGTTTACATGTCATCACATCTAGACTGTGCCCATGTTAAGAGAATCTATCTAAATCCCTTGTCAATATGACTTTATGGTTAAATAAAAACAAATACAGTTTTAGATAAGAAGAAACTGATTAAAAGGACCATTTTGATTGGCCGAATGCTCTGGTCTCAGTAATGTAAAAGTATTCAAAGACAGATAAAGGTGTTTTAAAATAAGGATTGATGAGCAGGTCTCACACAAATTTTGTGGAGACTGGGGGAGCCAAATGAGTCTCTTCCACAAGAAGAGTGGAAGAGACTCATCAAGTCTCTTCCACAGGAAATATTATTCTGTACAGTCAGTTGATTCTGAGACCAAGATGTTAAGGGGACAGTGCTTAGGAGCAAGTAAAACTTTAGGGGCCTTAAGCAAGGATAAATTCTGACTATGGTTTGGTGAAGCCAAAGTAGTGGGTAAGAAATGGGCAACTGAGGGCATTTAGTCATTCCTCCGTTGCTTCAGACCCACAAAAATCTACCATCATATGCCATCTCGGGTGGAATAACCTTCATTGCAAAGTTAAGGGTGGTTCAGTTGGCTCTTGGGCGGGTCAACCTCCACGTCCTGGCTGTTTCTGAGGAGCCTGCTACCATCTGTTGCATAAGTTGCTATACTGTCAGGTTTTAGAGGGTCTCAGTGATCAGGCATTTACAGAGAGGTATACACAGACTATAATAATAATAATAATAATAATAATAATAATAATAATAATAATAAGTACTAAATGTTATATTAAGAATAAAAGGAAGATTTGAGGTGTAAAAGGAGCTAGGTGTGAAGATCCTACAATGTTGGGCCTGGAACATCGTTAAATGTACAAATGAGGGTGACAGTGACGATTTGATGAATTTCCTGATTTGTAATCTGAGTATTTTGGGTGATGGCAGAGACATCGGAGAAGTCTATGGGGACCATGCACAGCATTACTTCTGACTACACAGTCACAATATCCTTTGGGAAGCCAGGATCATGGCCAATGCCAGTTAGTTGCTGGGGACTGACCACAGGAGTTCCTCAGGTCTCTAGTGATGTTGGTGTCTTTGGTAAGATTGTCCATACTTCTGGCAGATCATGGACAACATGGGAGTCCTGGTGAACTTGAGAAGTGGTCTACAGTCAGCAGTTCCAGGGACAAAGCGTATCCATCCATGGTCTCCAGAGACATCATGTTTTCTCCATTTCCTCCCAAACCTTACCTTCTTGTTCTATGGTTTCTTAAGAGTCAGGTGGAAAAGGAAGATCACAACCTCTTTTCTGGGGCTGAGATTCTGTGCTTCAGCTTGTAAATATAACATGTTTTTGTAGACCTTTTGG